GAGCAGGGACCTTTATTTTTATCTAACATTTGCAAACCCTATGAATCTAGGAAGAACACGGCGAGGCCCCGGGCAGGCCTCGGCCTCCACGCCAGCGCGGAAGGATCCTCCGCACGGCGTGGCCACGCTCGCCCACTTTCTGCTCCCTTTCTCCCCTGGGTTTGGGGGAAATCCCTTCCCTCGGCCTCCCATGGCCTGTGTGTAAAGCAAGGGACATGACATACAAAAGGGCGTGTCCCCGGGGGCTGGAGAAGGTTCACGGCCCCTGAGCGGCTGGGTGTCTGTCTGAACTGCGGGGAGTGGTCTCCCTCAGGGGCCCTGCACTGAGCAGACCGGTTCCGCTCAGAGGCCCTGGGTTCTACGGCCCTGCGTTGCCCGCAGTCCCCGCCGTGCATAACGCAACGCTGGGCCCGTTGCTCCCGGAGACAGAAGGCGACACTTCATTTCCCGGTTAGACACAGTCAGAGAAAGATCCACTGGAGCAGCCTGGCGGGTCCCCCTGACCGTTTCCGTGTTGGGTTCAGGGAGACACCTGCCAGCAGGGCCGTGGCTGAGCTGAGCGTCGGCTGCTGATGGGGAAGGCCGGGATGGCATCCCCGCGGCGCAGAGGCCACGGAGAGACACGGCGCCCAGACAGAGCGCCGGGAGGAGGCGGGCGGCTGCGGCGGCGAGCAGAGAGATGCCGAGTGAATAATGACCCGGCAGCCTCGTTTGCCAATAAGTGTGGAGCCTGAATGCAAATCAGCACAGGTTCCTGGAGCCAGAAGGGAAGAGAAACGAGGGCACGAGGAAAAGGGATGGAGCTCCAAGCAACTCCCCATCTTTATAAAAACCTCGCTCCCTGCCCCTGGACTCTCCCTTCTCTCACTGCTCCCTGCCAACTCTGGTGGGGGTGGGAAGGAGGGCGTTTAAACCTTTTGGGGAGCACTTGCCAGGCTGGGAGCTGGGGGTGGGGTCTCACCTCAGCAAGCTTTGGACCATGCCCAGGGCCACCTCGCCTCTGCCTGCGGCGTCTGCACGGGTGGAGGGCACTGGCTGGGGTGTTTTCAAGAGCTTCTGAGCTGATTCTAGGGAGAAGCAAGGGCCGAGGCCTCCGCCCGGATGAATGTAAGGACTGCCGTGTTCAGCGGCCTGAGCCTTGATGTGAGCACGGCTGCGAGTCTGCCCTCCACACCTCGGTGTGTCTGCACAGCCTTGCTGTGAGCAGCTGCTCATCTTAGGAGCGGTTCTCACTTTCTCTCTCGGTTGTCAAAACGGAGTTCGGGGTTAAACCTGATCATGTGTCTGTGTTTCGGCAGGACCAGTCTCTGGAGCCAGCTGCCTCGGCTCCCGGGCATTCTGGCCTCGCTAAGGAGGTCCCTGTTCCCAGGAGCCTCTGTCTCCGGTCTCAGTGGAGATCCCCTCCTTTAAAATCCCTGTTTTGCTGAAATCGGTTTGGCTCAGTGGATAGAGCGTCGGCCTGCGGACTGGAGGGTCCCAGGTTCGATTGCTTTGGTTCAAAGCAGCCTCTTTGAGCTCCTGAGCAGAGCGATGGGAGCCTGCTGACGCCCCCTGGAGTCTGAGGGCTTCTCACCAGCCGGGTTGGTCCCTTACGGGCTGCCACCACAGAAAGAGAAGCCGTTTGGCTAACAGCCCCGCTGATACAGGCGATTGTGTTACTGTGGAAAGGCAGCTAGCTCCCTGGGGCCCCCTGCTGGTCTTGTAAGACAGGTTCCCACCTGGTCCAGGGGAGGAGTGTCCCACTTGTTCTCCTGGGAGGAAGCAATGCTTACAGCCGATCGAAACCCCATTCCCTTGAATGGAGTCTGCCTGGTGCTGACGAAACCAAGCACAGGATGGGAGGGGAAGGCCCTTCTGATGCTGATGTGTGACAGCAACAAGTCACTAGACGGGACAAAATTTCTGCCGTTGCGTTAAGGAGACCGCAAAAATGGATTATAATGAAATTTTCCAAGTCACTTTGACCAAGGAGAATCGTCGTTGCTGAAACAGAAAAAAGTTTCCCAAAGGAAAAACCAGCTTCCTCTCTGTGGACCTGAGGAAGTGTACCACAACCCCATTCAAAACCTCAGGCACTTGACTTTTTTTTTTTTTTTTAATATCCTTTACCTTTTTAATAAAAAGTAAAAAACAAACAAACAAAAATACATCGATGTCCTGAATAGAACCCCTCTATGCAAAGGTCTCACTAAACAAATAAACATAGAACCAGACAAAAAAAAATGGAGCTGCAAATAGCAATAGAATATATTATGAAGCGCTTATATATGCACGTATATGTCATATATGAGTGTGCGGGTACATGTGTGTGCACCTAGGTATGTACACATATGTAAATATTTGCCTACATACGTCACACACACACACACACATATTTATACTGACCTCTTTAGATTGAAGTCCAAGGCACTTTTTACAATGAACAGGTTAAAGCCATTAACTTAGGACATAACTGTTTCTGGGTACATATCGACTCACGGCGCCAAGATGGCAGTTCGCAATTCCTCCTGGCTCACCTCGGGGTGAGTGCCTCCGGTCGGGGGAAAGGGGACGAGCATTGGCTTAAGAAGAGATTTAGGAATGTTTCTAGAAGATGCTTAGACTAACTCCTCTTGCTAGCTTCCTCCAGGGAGGCAGGTTCTCGCTCCCGGGATGCTGGTCCCCAGGGAAGGAGCGCTACATCTGCGCGGTGACGGGCAGACCTTCTCGGACCTGCGCAGCAGGGCAGTGATATTCCGGTGGCCCGGCCAGTACTGGCTAAAACGAAAACCCTGAAAGAGGGCTGTGGGGGGTCGGGGGGTGGAGAGGGAGCTCAAGGCTATGAAGCGAGCATTTAAAAAACTAAACTGGGAGGAAGACCTGCTCTCGGTGTCCCACTACCTAATGGTTAGTGGTCGGCAAACCGCGGCTCGAGAGCCACCTGTGGCTCTTTGGCCTCTTGAGTGTGGCCCTTCCACATAATGCTAACTTAATTGGTATTAACTAATGAACGTACCTACCTATGTAGTTTAAGTTTAAGAAATGTGGCTCTCACAAGAAATGTCAATCGTTGTTCTGTTGATATTTGGCCCTTTGACTAATGGGTTTGCCAACCACTGACCTAACCTAGTGGAATGGTAAGGTGCATTCGATTCTATCCTCATGATCACTCGGGACCTTAGCATCATGAAATCACTCTGCAAAAGGAAGGAGTGGTCTGATTTTCTGATCGTTAGTGATGTTGGTTACCATTGCTGTGGGGTAAGGCCAGTTCTTCTCAATATTTAAAGTGTGGATGGATCAGTGGGGGATCCTGTTCAAAGGCCGAATTGGCTTCAGTGGGGCTGGCGTGGGGCCTGAGATTCAGCATTTCTCACATGCTCCCGGATGAGGCTATTCCTGCTGGTCTGCGGACCCCACTTGGAGGAGCAATGGTTAGCGTACAGCCCTATACCTGAGTTCTCGTCAGGGAAGGGGCGGGGTGGTGGTGCAGGGGAGGGTCTGCTTTCCCCAAATCAGGAATTGGTGTTGGTTTCCTTGGTCTAGATGGAATAATAACGTTGAGGGGGAAAGATCAGAATATATTCACTTACTATGCATGCAAAAGTCTTGGCCTGAGGAGCTCTACAAGGGAAAGCAAAAAAAAAAAAGACATTTCAGTTCTATGTAGTAGCAGAAAAATAGAAAGAGACAAGTCAATAACCCCCAGTACATTCATTAGTCAATTATGTAACAGAATAAGCGAATCCCCATTACCCAGTGAGAGAGGAACCGGCTAAACACAGGCGCCCGGGAGTCCCGATGGCTTTGAGGGCGCTCAGCCTAACGTGTCACTGAGAAGCAGCGCGGATGCCGAGTGAATGGTGTCCAATCAGAACAAAACATGTGTTAGGTTAGGTCTCAGCTGCACACGCAGGTGGAAGCTGGGCAGTCAGAGATTTGCCCATCAGATTTGTCAATGCCTAACTGACACCAAGGAGGCCAAGCCTTTGCTACACTTAAGCTCCAATACCCAGAGCTCCGAGAGGCTCCGGGAAAAAGCCTGCGGCCTGGCCCTATCCGTGTCTCCGTGTGGGTTTGCGGGGTTTGGGAAAGGAAGCGGGAAGCACCCCCAGGTGAGTCTGCCCTGACGCCGCTTGGTCGGCCATGTCACCCCAAAGGGATGCTAACCAGTAAGGTCCTCCGTGGGGAGAGGCCTACGGCTTCCGGGAAACCTTCCTTCTGTCACCCACACACCGTATTTCCATCGAGTGCCCCCGTCCTTCAAAGGAGGGAAGTGAGAAAGTCTCTGGGTCTCAACTGCCATGTCAGAGGAGAAGGGCAAGGGGCTTCGTAGTGGCTTACGTAGAGACTTCCCCCCAATTTTTCCCAGAAAGGAAAACACCTGGATCGAACTCTCTTCCCTCCCGGCTGGAGGGAGCTGGCTCCTTGCTGATCTGCAGGTCCTACCCCCTCTCTCTCCCCCCACATTGTGGATAAACAGTGGGGACCTCGCTTCCTCCAAAGGTGCCCCACCCCAGCTCAGGAAAGCACATCTGCACATGGAGCTCAGAGGGAGCCCCGTGGAGGCGGGACTCCCGTCCAGCTTTCACTCTGACAGAGAGAACACCCCCCGCCCCATAGTGCCTAGGATTGTGAGTCTCACAGGAGAACACGGCTCTTCCCGGTGCCCGATTCTGACACGGCCAAAGGGGACGCCCAGCTGCGTGGGAGGCATAGCCTTCCCATCATGGGGCCTTGGCACTGACAGAGGAAGAGCTGCTAACGGAGAAATGGCTTTTTAAAAATCTCTTCAGGAATGGCTTGATAGACTTTAGGGTAGGATTACTCGTCTAAGCCTGCAATAACGCTCTCTGGTTTCCAACAGTCAGGCCTCAGAGAGTGGGACTGTGGCCGTTCTGTAGGCGGAGGGCCTCGCTCGGGAGCTCGGGCCGCCCCTCGCAGTGATGTGTACTCAGAAACAGTCATGGGGAGTGCAGGCCGGCACAGGGCCTGCCAGAGACTAAGTCTGATACAAAAGGTTAATGGAAAGTTACAATATATTTTGTAATATAGCAATATATTTCATATTTAAAATAAACGGATATGCTTTCTCCTATCGTTAAAAAATAGCAAGCAGTACAGAGAGGCAAGATGCAAATTCGTATCGAAGCTCATCTGATTCTGGATATAAACACTTCGGTCTCTGAGTTTGCCATTGGAAATGTCTCCTCCATGAACATCCGGTCATTCTCCTTTGTCGCTCGCTCCTGGTCGGTGCGCAAGGAGGGTCTGGGACCAGAACCGAGGTGCCGTGCTGTCAGACGCAGTGTCCGGTGAAGGCGTGTCAGTCTCAGCTGAGATTCAAACACTGAAATCATGTGACACGGTTAGAGAATGTCCTTTATTCCCTGTCCTCCTGTGAATCGGGACGTGGGCTGTTCCAATCAGATTCATATTTGATTTGTCATCCATGTTTGTGTGTGTGTTTGTTTGGCTATACATCCAGCATCTCTTTGGGATCCTCACTTCAGGTTGAGATTGAATTTTGTGCTTTTCCTCCATCATCCGCGTGGTTGGTCCCAAACATCTTTTGTTTGTTTCAACACACGGCCGGGTCCGAGGGGACAGCTCCCGGAATAGGACTCTCGGCGTGTCCATCCGTGTCTCGGGGCACGTGGCACCTAGATTGGAGGTCATACGTTGAAGATTGGATAATGGTTTTTGTCCAGAGGGAACTCCAGTTCGTGTGTGGGCGCTTCCAGTAACGGTGTAAGGAAAGAAAGATCACAGTTATTCTCCCCTCGTCTACAGAAGAAGACACCATGGCACTGAATACTTTTCAACACGCTCCGGCCTACGCCAGTTACATAGCTACAGCTCACGTGTCTGACAGGAGTCGAATGTGAATTCCTATTGGCACCACCTGGCACACAAGCCTTCCGGACGAAGAGCACTCCCCTGTGTTCTATGCCAGAGGTGGACCGTGGCTATCACTCTCCGGGAACATTCCTTTCTTACAGGGACCAGCAGCCGCGTTCCCATGATTGCTTTGGTGGCAGTAGAGAAGGGAGGGAGACTGCCCAGAGCGTCCTCAAGCTGTCTGGCCGCAGGGGGAGGGAGAGGAGGGGCTGTTCTGTGCCTACCACCTACCGGGAGACCACCAGGGAGCTGTCTAAGGTCCTGAAACCGGACGCAGCGGACTGCAGGCAAAAAACCACGACCACTCACCATCCTTCATCTGCTTCCCAGCAACTTCCAGGGAAGTGGAAAGACTGGACGGAACGGGGGACGTAGTTTGGGATTGAAAAGCAGTAACTTACAAGGAGTGGTAACCTACTGGTAGTGCAAGGCTCTCATTGTGTCCAGTGGTGATGGTGCTGTGATGGTGCTGCAACATGGCCTCTTAATTGGGGCCCCCTGTTTGTCGGGGCGCGCTCTGAAGAGCAGAGAGGTCCTGGAGCTGGATGCTCCCCCTCCGTCCCTCCCTGCCTTGTGGATAGATAATGACTTTTTGGTAACTACTGGTTGCCTTTAGATGTAACATCAAAGTGTGGACCAGAGAGATTTGGTCTGGCTTGCTGTTGATGGCACTAGTGATTCCATTTTTAAAAAAAATCGATTGAATACCTGGTACTTAATAACATTAACTAGAATCTTCATTTTAAGTACAGGTAAACTGAGGTATGATATGGTTATATTAATTGGCCGAAGATGGGGGATCCAGTGTTGGAATCTCTAGTTTTCTTCTTTTCCAGGATCACTCGTTTACAAGGAAATGACTGAAATCTAAGGGGGGGGGTGTCCTTAAATATAGGAAAGTCATCATTTCCCACTCAGTTCTTTCTTATCCTTAAATAAACAGTAGCTTGCAGCTGCTTGGCACTTTGGGATTTACTTGCACCTCCACTTCCTCCACTTCCTAAGTTATGTGATCACTGTGACACCACTGGTCCTTGCTGAGGTCACCAGTGCGTGGTGACTCAGGGCCTTATGCCTCTTGCTCACTCGGGTTAAGCATTTTTAGAGATATGAACTCATGAAGTTACATAGTATAAGGATTGCAAGAGCAGTTTATAGATACCTTATGACAATTCATTCATGATGACTCATGTGGCCTTTGAGCCAAAGGTGATTTCTAGTTGGACTTCAATCTAAGGAGGAACGAACCCCTCATCTGATATGATTTGCCAACGGATGCTCTATCCTGAAGTTCCACTGAGATCCGTGGTCTCTAAGCATCACAGTACTTCCCTGACGTTACAGTACATGGGTCTATAATATGGCTTAAGCGATGGGGAGGGGGGTGGCCCTGTTTTTTTGTGTTTTTTTTTTCAAGTGTCTAGATATTTTAGGGAACATTAGGGTACTCTGACCTGTCACCAAGTCATCACGAAGGTTATTGTGGGGACTCTGCACTGGGTCAGCCTTCCAGGAGTGGACAGCACTCAACCAGCTCAGCATTGGGGGTTATCGGAATGCAGTTTTTACCCAGAGCCAATTCTTAATTAAACCTCCTCCACCATCCAACTTGGAAATAAGGAACCAGAGGGCGTGGTGTGAGAGTCCGCCTGCCCTCTCTCCCCCTCTGACTGTGATGCTGGAGCACAGTGGGATCAGCCAAAGGACTGGCCGTAGGAGGAACCCCTGGGTAACCTACCCGGGATCATCCACACCTAAGTCAGCCAGGGTTGATTGTACTTGCAGGAGAATGGGTAACTTCCCACATAAAGCTGAATTATAGCACAGAGAAGCAGCCTTCCGTTTACCACTGCAGGATCAACATGCAGATTTGATCACCTTTTTTTGGGGGGGTGGATGAGGGAATATTAAATATTCTTTTGCCAACAATAAAACCCATACATAGCGATTGCACTACCAATAGGTCCAGGCATGCCCCAAATGCCCTTATTTCTAGAATGCCAGTGGCTACAGCTACTGGAATAGCTCCAACCACACCCTGGACTAGGGCTGCTAGCTTGGTCTTGAGCGCTTCACTGAATGTACAACATTCATGATGGATTCTAGAAGATTCATCCACAGACTAGGATGGGTCAATCATAGTCTGTGCATACTTTTAGGGTGGGGGGAATGGCAGTGGAATCTTGTACATCATTTATTTGGAATGAATAATAAATTGTTATTTGTGTGCATGTGTGGGCGTGCGCACACGTGTGCACGCGCGCGCACACACACACGCACACACACACACACCCCAGCGTTGAGCAGAGTGGAAAGGGGGAATAGGAGTGAAGAGGTGAGGGCTGTTGGTTCAGTGATTAGAGGTGGCACCGTCAGCGTGACCTGTCCGTGGTCTTCACTTCGTGAGATGGAACCGACGCTTTAAAGAGACTGCATGGGCATTTCATCTGTTCACACGCTTGGCTTATCTGTTCAGCAGAACCGTCTCTGAAAGCAGGGGGATTGTTCTTGGGACACAAAAACGGAGAGAAGTCTTCCAGAGAGTCAAGAGTTAAAACATAAAAAGCCAACAGCAAGGACGGCATCTGGGCTGTGCAAAACCACCAATGAAAATGCTCCAATGGATTGTCAGAATAAACAGGAGACCATTGAAGGAACAGCAACACCAATTAAAATAGGTTTTAAAAAATGTTTAGCAAGAGCGGCCTTAGTTTGCCCTGCCAGTGAACTGGAGTGTCATCCCGGACATCCAAAAGGTTGTGGGCTCAATCCCTGGTCCGGGCTCATATGGGAGTCAACTGATCAATACCTCTCTCTCCTATGGGAGTCAACTGATCAATACCTCTCTCTCTCTCTCTCTCTCTCTCTCTCTCTCTCTCTCTCTCTCTCTCTCCCTTTCTCTCTAAAAATCAATAAAAACATATCCTCAGGTGAGGATTAAAAAACAAAAAAGAGGCCTTAGTTCTAGAGTCATCTGCCTTTTACTGGTCCCCTTGTCCTTGGGAGGCCAGGCCAGTGCAAAGCAAAGGCCGGCAGGGCCACCATCTCCAGGACACCCTTTCGTGTGACCCCAAACAGATGAAATACTCCATGCAGCGCCGCACAGCTCCCCACAAGCAGACGTCAGAGACCTCAGAGTGAGAGCGTGATGAGGGACACGACGGCTTCCAAGTGACACATGTGGTCGTGGAGCCCTGGGAGGACTTTGCTCCCCGCCGGCCCCCTCCTCACAGTGCCTGCCCCTACCCTGGACGGTGATGTTTCTGGAATCCCTTGGAGCCGGCGAGATCTTAGACTAGTTCGGGACAGGCTCCTGACAAACCCATGTCGTCTCACCTGACCCACAAGGCTCCCTAAGGGCTTTTATTCTCATAACTTCTCATGTGGAGGAGATTTCGGGTCTGGTAGAAGGGACCCCCTGGGGCGCTGGACCCCTTGGTACTTCTAACACCTGGACCTGGAGTCCCGTCTTAGCCTAAACCTCATGGAGCGAATCCCCAGACAATACGTCTATTCACTCAGGTGTCACTGTGTGGACCCCAGCCCCCAGCCCCCCACGTGCGCACCCCTGGTCACGTGCTCCACAGGGACAGGACTCATTTGGATCTAAGAAGGAAACTCTGCAAAGCTTTGGCAATCACCTCCGACCCAGCAACCGGTGCGCTTCCAGGAACAAGCAACCTGGGCCGTGTCTGAAGGGACCTGCCTCTTCGGGGAAGCTCAGCGTATGGCCAACGCCAGCAAGCTCCCTGAACGGAATCACCCGCCCCGGGACCCAGACCCACTCCACACGCACGGAGAGAGTGCCTCCTGTGTGCGGGGGCGGGGGCCAGGCCCCCTTTTCATCTGGGTCAAGTTCAAACAAGAAAGTACCTGGGTTGAATGGTGTGTGTGTGTGTGTGTGTGTGTGTGTGTGTGTGTGCACGCTCTTGCAAACACACAGGTTTCTATGGGTATTGATACTGGATGGAAAATCTGGCTTTTTCTTTTCCTGGGTATTTTTGTTTTGTTTCGTTTTCTTTCTTTTTCTTTTTCCATCTCAATTGGGCGTTCTGATTGCATAAGCTATGGGCGGGAAGAATGACTGTGTTGGCAAGTCGTAGGCACCTCTCTTTTCCTTATGCCCCCCAGCGGCTTCCTCGGACAAAAGGAAAAGAGAGAGGTGTGCCCGAGGACCCCAGCGGCGAGGAGCCCCCGCCCCGAGCCTCGCACGCCCCCTCCCGCCGCGGGACCCTCTCCTGGGCGTCCCCGGTCGCCGCCTCGGGGCACGGGACTCGCCCACTCCCGCCGTGAACACCTGAGATGGAGCGTGGATTTCTGTTCTCCACCAGCTCTGCGGCAAGGGCCCTGCCAGAGGTGTCGCTTCCTGTCAGCTCAGCTTCCTGCTTCCAAGTAGAGGCACCTAAACAGAGATTAGATTTCTGGTTTCAAGGCATCTCGAACCAAGCACGCCGGATGAGCATGAGTTAGTCACGTAGCTCGGACGCTCCTCTGGGCATCCCCGGGTCTCCGTGCTCCTGGACGGCCGAGGGGGCCAGGAGGGAGTCCGCTTGCCTCGTAAGACCTGTGGGCAGTGTTTCCGGGGCGGGGAGGTTTATTTAGCAACTGCTGGAGCTCGTGTACGGGGTGGGGAAGGAGGTGGAGCTGACCCCGATGGGGCTGTCGGAGAGCGGGGTGCGGGCGGTGCCCACGGCCACGCTGACGCCCCGGGCCTCCAGGATGGCGGAGAGCAGCTGCTGCTGCTGCTGGCGCAGCGTGTCCGCGAGGAGGGCGGGCAGCGAGTTGAAGCTGGCGGCCAGGTGCTCCAGCTTGGACTCCAGGCTCCCGATCTGCTTCTCCAGGTCCTCGCTCCGGTCGTTGAGCTCGGTGATCAGGTCGTACATGACGTTCTGCATCTGGGGGAGGGGGGGGTAAGGCGGGGGGACAGGTCAGCACGGAGCACTCTGCAGGGGCGAACGCGGAGGACGCCTCCAGATTCCAACGGGAGTGACTCCCACCCGGCCACGCCTGGCGTGGCCAAGGCAGCGGCAGCGAACTTTCCGGGAGACACGGAGACGGAACGCTGGGTTCCCCTCCCCCTGTTACAAAAGGGATGCATATCCAAATAATAAAAGGGTGATATGCAAATTGACCCTGACGGTGGAATGGCCAGAATGACCGCTTGACCAATCACTAGCAGCAAAGCACCTCCTCGGAAGGTGCAAAACCACAGACACATCTGATCGCTGGGCACCCCGATGAGCTGGCCCAGAGGGCACCCCGATGAGCCGGGCCGCAGGGCACCCCGATGAGTCGGCCCTGGGTCTCGGCCCCGGCGCTGCCCGGCACCTACTGCCTGACCATGGGAGAGCCGGTCGCTTTGCTCCTTTGGATCTTGGGCTCCTCGTTTATGTTCCCCATCAGAACTACCGTCCGCAAACCCTTTACTAGGAGAGTTTACAGTCTTCTCATCTGATCACTACGCCTCCGAGGTCAGGAATTGTTTTCACGTCCCAGCCGAGGGACTGGAAGGTAGCAAGGAGCCCAAGGCCCCCCAGGCCTGCCCTCCTGCATTCAGCACCACAGCCACCTGGCACTCCTCAGCTGGGGGCAGGGGGAGGGGACCAAAGGGCAGGGCTGGGCACTGGGCGCTGGGCAGCTGGGAGGGAGAAGCAGCACAGCGAGGAAAGGCCGAGGACACACCACCGTCCTCTCCCGAGTGCTGCCTGGTGCCTGGAGGCCAGAGAAGGTGGACGGGTGGGAGACATGCTGAGCTCTGCCAGGACCTCGGGGTGGGGGGAGAAGGGGTCCCCCGGAGAAAAGACGCGGCCTGGATGGCCGCCACATTCTCCTCTCCAGGCCTCACAGGGCGCCTGCCCTGCAGTCGCCCCCCTCGGCCCTCTCTTCCCTCCCCTTCCTTCCAGGTAGCTCACTTCCAGATTAGTCACGGTCACCCCCCCACCCCACGCACAGGAGCCTCTTCACCGAGTTCTGGCTTCACCCCGTCTGTCTGCGCAGGCCCCGCCTCCGTGAGAGGCTGCGGGTGGCGCTGAGGAGAAGCAGCTGGAAAAGCCCCATTTGCCTGATGGTCCCGGGAGGACTCCTCCAGGTGAGCGGTGAGGCAGGAAGCTTGGCTGCTTCTGGAGGAAATATCCTGGGGCCCGATGTCGGGCCATTCCTGCATCCCCCAGGGCGGCCCCAAGCCCTGTTAGGCCCCACAAGACCCTCTTCCTGGCCACAGTGGATGGGGCCCAGGGTAGACACAGGGCCCAGCCAGCCAGTCCTCTCCTCTCCGGGAGAGGTTCGCACGGAGATCCACAGGCAGCCGCTGGCCTTTGCCTGTGGCCAGAACCAGAAGACAGACTCCTCGGTCAGGGGCCTGCCGCGGTCCGCGGGGGAGGCGGGGGGCAGAGAGAGCGGCCAGGGGCGAGGGGCGGGGGAGGCGGGGCAGCAGAGAGAGCTGACGCGGGGCACGTGGGCAGGAGGGAGCAGAAGGGTAGAAGGACTTTCCCAGGTGGGCCGCAGTGAGCTCCTTCCCTCCGGTCCGACCACCTGCCTGCCTTGAGGTTCTGCCGGGGACGAGCCTTCCTTGTATCTTGATGACAAAAGCCTCCATTCGAGAACTGAGTCCCAGCGGGTGTCTGGTACGGGACACCCCCAGGTCCCCAGGGAGCTCCCTCCCTCCCCCCCTCCCTCCGCACGCCCGTCCTCCAGGCTCTCAGGAGCCCCGCGCCTCCTCGGCACCCTCCGGGGCACGCAGGCCTGGGGCTTCTCCCTGCACAAGCCACACGTTCCCCGGCTTGGGAGGCCCTCTCTCCGGCTGGATCCCTTCTCTGAACAAGGCGCCTGCACGTGGCGCAGCGCCGCCTGCCATCTCTCTGATTGCACCCTCCTTTCAAAGGGCGTTAAATCTGCCGGAGGGAGTCTCTCCCGCTTGCCCGGGGAGCATGTGCCATTATGGTGATTGACATCTGCTGGCATCGCCTGCAAGGCTGGCCCTGGGCTGCCCACTTGATATATAATTTCTGTCAGGAATCAGAGAGAGGGCCTGCGAGGGGCGGGAGGGATGGGGGATGGAGGATGGGGGCGGGGGGAGGGTGTGGGGAACGGAGGTGGGGAGGCCCTCTGCTCAGTGGTGCCTGGACTCAGCCGCACCAGTGATTGGCAGGAGGAGCGAGTTTCTTTACAGTATTCACAGCGGTTCAGGGCCAGAAACGCTTCTAGCCCCGGGGTCCTCAAGGGCAGGTCTCGTTTTTTTTAGTATCTTAGCATTCCTCATAGGCCATTTGCCTCTTGGGAAGCAGAGAAATCTACCCCAACTTGTATGCATGCATATACACATAACCAACGGACGAAAAACTCTGAGGAGGGAGGGCATGTATGGGAGTGGGGGTGGGGTGGGGATTGGTAAGGTATGTACACATATAATACCTTAATTTAAAAAAAATGAGGAAAAAAAAATAAGAAATGCACCCCACCCCCAACTTGGGGCGAGAAAGCTGGGCTGGAAGGACCGCAGGATGCGCGAACACGCCCGTCCGACGATCCCAGCAAACCGGAGGATTTTCCCGGGGGACCTCGGCAGCGCCGTGGCCATCACCGCCCGTCCGTTCTCCTCGGTGTGCTTTGCCCCGTGCAAACCCGAGCTCCTCTCAGGAGCCCTCAGGGCACAGCTAAGAAAGCCGCGCACTGCAGAGGGAGAGGCCGGCTAATTAATTCCAAGCCGAGGCAGATGGAACGTAAGAAACAAATGCCAGGTTTTAAAAGGCACCGAGACGCACGAGGAGACTCAGATGCCAAGGGCTTGGCCCTGGGCGGTTCTCACCGGAGGAGGCCTCGCGGCTCGGTGCCTCCCTCGGCCTGCACTCCGCGGTGCGGACGCCGGGCACGCCGGGGGCGGCTACACGCCAGCGTCCGAGAGCGCGTTAGGGACGGCTTCAGAGTTTGCCACTCACCTTGGAAAGGTCCACCAGGGTGTTGGCTTGGTCGCTCAGCTTCCTCTGCTCCATCTTGACGCTCCGCAGCCTGCGGGAAAGAGCGGGAAGGGCCTCGGTCTTCAGGAGCACGTGAAGGGTCAGCCCCACAGGCAGGCCCACTGCCCCAGCCGCTCGTCTGGTGTTGGAACCCAGCACGGGGGCCTCGCACGGGGGGGACAGCTGACCAGAACCAAGGGCTTGTCAGGCCCCCGGAGAGTAGATTCTTGTCTGCATGCATGCTTGCCTCTTGGCACGCTGGCTTCTCACTACACCCAGGCCATTTTCTGGCATGGATGCCTTTGTCTGTCTACTCAGCGGTGGAGAACCGTTTTTTTGTTTTTTCCCGCCAGGGGCCATTTGGATGTTTATAACATCATTCTTGGGCCACACAAAATGATCCACTGAAAAACTAGCCTGCCTCCATTTGGTCAAACATTTCATCAACGTACCCCTCGTGCCTTGGCAGGGCCAGACCAAGTGATTTCCCTGGCCTTCTGAGGCCCGAGGGCCGGAAATTCCCCAACCACGGTCAAGGCTCTGCCTTCCCCCTGGAACGCCCTACTCTAGGCCTTTCAGGGTTTCCCCAGAGCTTCTAGGTCAGAATAACTGTTTTCATCCTCTATTTTATCCCTATGCTTAAAAAAACTTATGTCTCGCCGAAACCGGTTTGGCTCAGTGGATAGATCGTCGGTCTGCGGACTGAAAGGTCCTGGGTTCGATTCCGGTCAAGGGCATGTACCTTGGTTGCGGGCACATCCCTGGTAGGGGGTGTGCAGGAGGCAGCTGGTCGATGTTTCTCTCTCACCGATGTTTCTAGCTCTCTATTCCTCTCCCTTCCTCTCTGTGAAAAATCGATAAAATATATTTAAAAAAAATATATATATATATATATGTCTCTTATAGGAAACACTGACCACAGTTTGTTCTGCTTTGACTTGCAAAGTGGTGTGTGTGGGTGTGTATGTGTGTGAACTGTGAGAACCCTCAGAGCCTCTTGCTCTAATTTTCACCTCCCATGGCAGCCTGCCCAATGTCTGGCAGCGGCAGGTGCACCCAATGGGTACACAGACCGGCTGGGTCCCCGTGACCGCCCCCAGGGCTCACGGAGCGGGACAGAATGGGTTTCTCCTGTCCTCTGAGCGTACGAGGAGGGACCGACCCAGCTGGCGGGCCCCCACCGCCTCTCCTCTGGCCGCCCGACGGCCCAGCCTTCCCCACACTCACTGGTGGATGGCCTGCAGGAACTTCCGCTGGTGCTTCCGGACCTTGGCGTGGTCGATCTTCTTGAGCAGCTTGGTGTGCTTGTAGATGAGCCACGTCTCCCGGAGCACGTTGGCCGCCGCGTTCTTGATCTAAAGGAGAAGCAGGTAAAGCGGGTTGCTCCCGGGCTCGCGTCCCTCATCTCCCGTCCGCCGCTTTCCTGTGTGCTGATAGCCTCTATCCTAGAGGGAGACGGCTCTGCAGTGATCCAGCTCCTTAACCAAACCGTGACCTCTTAGGACGGGTGATTAGCATTCATCTCCCGCTAATCCTGGGCTGGATGCAGTACACTGGAGCCTGGGAGTGGGGGGGGTGTGTGTGTGTTTCTTGCTCTTTCTTAATTACTTCGGGGCTGCCTCCGACTGCTGCTGCTGGTGCTATATTTAGACAAGCTGTGTTAACAAGACCTGGGGGCCCGGGGCACTTTTTGAACGGATAAATATACACCCGCCGCTGCCGCTCCCGCACGCGGAGCTCCAGAGCGGAGACTCCCATGGTGCATTGCTTGCGTTCGGAGAGTAAACAGAGTTCCTATCAGCGGGAGATGTTTGAGGGCCTTTGAGGAAAAGCCTTTCCCACCACATGGAGCCCTCGGTGCCAGCAAACCCGTGGCTTCCTCTCCCCAAATGGCCAGAAACATTTACCCCGCAATTTTACAGGGAGCCCTAATCGGCATGAAACGGAACGAATTGACAGCAGCGTCTGGAAACGGGTGAAGACATTTAGGCGTGACAACAGAGCCGCCTCTTCCCCTTCCCTGGCTCCTTGCACCGCACTCACAAGTTTCAACATACGACGCTGTCATCGACTGACATGGAAACCACGGATGTCACCCGGCCTGAGACTGAGCTGAGACAGATCAATGGTGTCCAGATGTTTTGGTGCAAACACAGACACCCTCAGCCACGAGGAACAAGAGCAGGAAGAAACATCTCTTAGGAAACACAAGCTCAACAGATCTCTGGCTCACCGTTCCCGTGTCTGACAGCCACGCACATGGACACGGGCCCGCGGGCCCGGGGCCCGGGCTGGGCCGGCCAGCCTGGGAGCAATCAGGTCACTAGCCAGAAAGGGTTTTAGTAAGCCTGGCGAGTCCAGCTCGCCCCTGCAGACTGACATCAACAGATGGGACGGGCGGGGAGGCCTGGGGAGCATTGCTTTGAGAAGTTCTGTGTGTGTGAGTTTTAAGAATTTATCACGGAGGCCGGATTCCATTTTTTATTGGCGCAGAAGCGATGCTCTTAAAAGAACAGCTACGCCTTCTCAGAAGCGTCTCCGTGACATAAATATGGCTTCTTTTCGTTTAGGAAAAATCCGCTGTGACAACCGTTTTAGTGACTTCATCGCCCAACTTTGGCCCTTTCTTGCTCGGCAGGAAGCGGGCCGTGGGGAGTATAAGCTGGAGAGTGAGTGTCCAGGTGGGGGGGGGGGTGTGGGAGAGGGGTGGTCTCTGGAGTTCTGTCCGGGCCCAGAGAAGGGAGCCCCTTCCCTCTGCATAGAGCAGTCTTCTGTAGGAAGAGGCCATTGGACACACGTCTCCTCAGCTCCCCTGGGGGCTGGGCCTCCAAGGAAAGCCTCCCAGGAAAAGCCTGCCCTGGCCCTGAGGAGACAGCAGAGCCCCAGCGCCAAGTCTCCCCGGCCCACGGAGTTAAGGAGGAAAGGTGCCTGGGCCTCTGACAGCGGTCTCCGTGTCCATGTGGGACGGACGTGGGCGATGGAAAAGCCTGCAGGTGGACTCTGGCTCCAGCAGTCAGTCAGCAGGCGAGGAGTCAAAGCTTAAATACCTGCGTGAGGGGAAAGAAGTCCTTTCTTTGAGGTTGAGAGGAGGCCGGGAGGAGGCAACGATGGTGATGCTGATGGCCTGAGGCCATACGGCACCGGGCACAGGTGTGAGTGCCCCCTGTGCGTGAGCTCAGTTAATCCTCACAACCACCCCAGCAGGCAGGCACGAATGCTGTCCCCATTTTACAGATGAGGAAGCCGAGACACAGACCCGGACCATGAAGCTCTAAATGGCAAACGGAGTCCAAATGGACTTGTGTTGCACACGCAAACTGATATCAGTCATTACCATCCAGCCCGAACCCCTATTGAAAAGGAAACCGTTCTGGCTCAGCAGGTGGGGCACAGTGGTTGAGTGTTGACCCAGGAACCAAGAGGTCGCCAGTTCGATTCCTGGTCAGGGCACATGCCCTGGTGAAGGGTTGGAGCCCCAGGATGGGGTGTGCAGGAGGCAGCAGATCAATGATTCTCTCTCAGTGTTAATGTGTCTATCCCCTTCTCTATTCACATTATATACTTCGGATTTTCTATCAAATTCATCATCTTTCTACTATTAAAAATAAAATAATATTATCTTTTTTTTTTTTTTGAGAAGAGAAGCCATATGATCATAGATCTAATGTTTTCCAAAGAAAGAATTTACCTTTAATTTAGGGAAATAATAAATTGATCACATGGAATTGTTGTTTATCTAAGTACTAGAAGCCCAGTGCATGAGGGAGGTCCCTCAGCATGGCCTTCCCCCTCTCACAGTCTGGGAGCCCTCAGGGCTGGGAAGCAACCAGGTGATCAGGGGAAGGCAATGCCCCATCACACCTCTGCTGCTGCCACTACCGGCAGCACAAGCCTCAGCTGGCCTTGGTTACCTCTAAAAAACTCAATAAAAACACATTTCCAAAAAATAAAATAAATAAAAGGAAATGGCTTCAGAGATAGGCTTTGAGGGCCAGCATCACACAGCTAGCAAATGGCAAAGTCCAAACAAGATCCAGGCCCGAGAGGAGTAGCAGGTTTTCATGTGGTCTGCAGACAGACCTGGCTAGATATTCTCTCTCTACAAAAACAAAATAATTTCCTGTTTTCCAGGACCAAGGAATGGGAAAGGATATTAGAAGGTTTTTTTTGTGTGTTTTTTTTAATCATCTTGGCCTCCATGTAGCAATATGACAGGACAGGGAGTCCATGTCCTACACTTAACTCCAGCCTGAATGGGAGGGACCGGACTCGCAGCGCGGCCTGGATGGCGGAGAGAGGCAGCCGCGTCGCCGTTACGGGTCTGCACAGGAGGCCCCCGTGTGTGTTCGGGAAACGGACGCGAACGGCGAGCTTTGGTGCTGGCTCTGAGAGGAACTGCCTGCAAGCAGCCGGGCCCAAAGCTACAGAGATCAATGTCTGCGAGAGAAAAAGAAATAGGCTTTTAGCCGAAACCGGTTTGGCTCAATGGATAGAGCGTCAGCTTGGGGACTGAAAGGTCCCAGGTTCTATTCCCGTCAAGGGCATGAACCTTGGTTGCGGGCACATCCCCAGTAGGGGGTGTGCAAGAGGTGGCTGATCAATGACTCTCATCGATGTTTCTAACTCTCTATCTCTCTCCCTTCCTCTCTGTACAAAATCAATAAAAAAAAATATTAAAAAAAAAGAGAGAGAGAGAAAAAGGAAAGAAACAGGCTTTTAACCGCTCTGTGCGCTCCCAGGGTGACCATAACTGCTCCTGGGACCAGGGTCTCCCTTCAGTGCACTTGGCAGAGGAGCATCATTGGGATGGGGAGCAGCGGAGATTTCTGAGGTTCGCTGAGCCCCGGATGGGGCCGGGGTGCCCTCTGAGCTCTCCCAGGAGATGGGGGCACCAGGGCCAGAGGTGCTCCGCGGGGTGGGATGGGTCAGGGCGCTGGGAGAACCTGAGCAAGGCCGGCCATGGTCAGATGGGGTCAGAAAGGGGTAGAATTTTACCTTTGTGTGTGGAAGGGGGGCTGTTCTGTTCTCCCAATCCATAAGAAAACGAGCTGATCATTTTCTCTCCAGAGGTTCTCCACCAAAAAAAAATAAAAAGGCTGCTTTCATGCTGATGGATGCCAGATGGGCTCCGTGACCCACACGCTCCGGGAAGGGCTTTAAGACTAATGGGGTTGAGCAAGGAAGTCATCCAGAGAAGACCTTGCAAGTAGCAGCGACGGCAACGCTTGCCGAGCGCTCACTGCGTGCCAGGCTCTCCGTGAGAGACACTCCGTGTCTGCGGTGTCTTATTTGCTCTCCGGAAAGCTTCCCCAGTGGGTGCAATCACGGTCTCCTCCTTGGACCTGCTGCGAAGTCTCTCTGAGACTCCGTTTTCTCATTCCTTCCTTCACAAAACCATTGCCAAGAACACTGTCCTAGGAAGCGGGAACACCAAGACGCACAGCCCCATACCACGCAAGCCCTCTCGGAGCGTGTCATCTTGTGGGGACGGCGTGCCGTTTGTAACGGAACAGCAGAGAAACATACAGCCGGGAGCTGTCAAGAGAGGATGCAAGTGCGACAGAGCTGCGAGATGGGGTTGTCGTGCTGATGAAATGGGAGGAAATCGGGGCGGGAGCGAGGAGAGATGCACTTCTGTGGTTCAGGGCTGGAGTCTGAGCTGCCACAGCAGCATGGCAGAGTGGTGGCTATTTCTATACGCTAGTCACCTGATGCCCAGCGAGTTCGGAGGTACACCGGCTTTTCTCTCCAGCAGGCCCAGAGCCCTAACCACCACGCTGAATTCCAAGGCGCTGACTGCTCTGGAAAATCCACAAGCTGCAGCCCCGGCAAGGACCAGCGAGCACCCGGCTGGCCCTGATGGCCCGGCCACCCTTGCCCTCACTGGGCCGGAGAGGCAGGTGCCTAGGATGCTCCCAGCTCAAACGCTGTTTCTATGACTACGGTATGGTCCTACCCCTGTCGGGGACAGAACCCTTGTGGGGAATAGCACGTACAGCCCCCTTCTGAGGAGAATCAGCATTCCTGACGACTGCTCCATCGATTCTAGGATGAATGTTAAAGAGATGAAGACCTGTTGTGGGAATCCACTCTTGGGACCAACCAGTTGTCAGCCACAAATTGAGTGTCCCCGAACCAGACTTTCTGCGCCCGGAACAGCAATGACGGCCTGTCTTTTCCTGGAAAAGACCTGACCACGAGTAATTCTTAGAATCAGGAAAAAAAAGAAAGGAAAAAAAAGGTCATCCCGGAGCCACTGGGAGTCCCAGCCCCTCCGGCTTTGCAAACACCTCTCTGCCAGACCATTGCATTTGTGCTGCTCAGTTCTCTGGGGAAAAATACTGGACATGGAAGGGACATCGCAATAGATGAAGAGTTTTCAGAGAAGCGAGACGTTATTCGATTAGAACGGTGCCTTGCGCTCAGGAACGAGCAATAGATATTTGTTGGTTTGAGTCTCAGGCCTTACTTTTCAAGGGGGAAGTGGGCTGACCTCAGGAGGAGGGTGGAGAATCGTTTCTGAAAGACTGGAATTAGCCACCGTCACCTCATCTCCTTTGCCATTGTGCTGCAGAAGAATTGTTTATATTCCCGTCATGGGAGGGAGCTGGCATTCCTCGGCTTTACTTTCCTCCAGGGTCTGATATACGGAGTGAAAAATGGAGGCCAGAGGGACAACATGATGTACAGCGTCTACCCTTGGTTTCCAAAAGCGAACCAGAGCAGAGAGACTGAGGTCTCAGCTTCCGGGGAGGTTCAGAGGCAAAGCCCTTTGGCAGGGACTCCTGCACTCAATTGTTTCGGGGAAATGGATGCAATAGATTTGAGTAGAGGTGTTCCCATCTCCTCTGTGATTTGCTCAGTGCCAGGCCTGGCTTCTGCTTGTGTGACAGTCACGGGGCTGAGCGAGAGCAGCCGGGTCCCGGGGCTGTGGGTGAGACCCGGGTGGCCTGCCCCTGGATACCATCCTGCCATCTTGATGTCATGAGTTATGTGCTCTTTTGTACAATGGGCAGCTCAGGCCCACCAGGTACCATAGACAGTAAACTCTCACTCAGCATTGCTGACAGGTTCTTAGATATGCGACAAAATGAGGCATAACAAAATCTATGTGCTTGGCCGGAGTGACTCAGTGGTTGAGCATTTGAACTATGAACCAGGAGGTCACGGGTTGATTCCTGGTCAGGGCATATACCTGGGTTGTGGGCTCGATTCCCAGCAAGGAGCATGCAGGAGGCAGCTAATCAATGATCCTCATCATTGATTTCTCTCTCTCTCCCTCTCCCTCTCCCTCTCCCTCTCCCTCTCCCTCTCCCTTCCTCTCTGAAATCAATAAAATACATTTTTTTTAAAAACACCACCAAAATCAATGTTACCTCAGCATAAACAATAATAATGTCCCAATGACATGACAGCAACATTATAAGAAAACATCCTTATCCAAGGACCTGCTGTACCAGCCACTGGTAGGTCACCAACATCAGAATAGTTGCCTGTATCCGTTCCTTTTAACACCTGTGGAGGCTCTCAGAGAATCCGATACGTGTAATCAAAGACCAAACAATCACGCACCATAAATAATTCTGCCGAGAAACCGGAGAGGCCCTGGCAGCAGGGCGCCCTCCCTACCTTCCCCGGGAGCTGGCTCACCCTCGGCCACCCTCCTCTGCCTTGGTTCTCCCCTCCCGCCTTCGTCTGTTTCTAACAGATCTCCACTGTGCTGCGACACTGGGCACTGGCATTTTCCTCTAGCTTTCAAAAACCCAAATCAGCCCGGCCCGCATGGCTCGGTGGCTGAGGGTCAACCGATGAACCAGGAGGTCACGGTTCGATTCCCGGTCAGGGCCCATGCCTGGGTTGCAGGCTCCATTCCCGGTGTGAGGCCTGCGGGAGGCCGCCGATCCATGATTCTCTCTCATCCTTGATGTTTCTATCTCCCTCTCCCTCTTCCTTCCTTTCTGAAATGAATAAAATTATTTTTTAAAAAAATCAAAATTTGGTTGGGCCTTCTAACCCACTTCGGTCCTACGTGAGTAGTTGCTATGGCGGCCAAGACCGCACAAAGGGTCTGGCTTCTCGCTCATCCCAGAAAGAGGGGCTTGTGTAGCGACTCCTTCTAAATGGGCCTTTTCTTCCCTCACCAGGCAGCGGGTGTCTGCCTCGGTGCTCTCCTCCCTTCCTGCACATCCCCACCGTTCAACCTTCTGAGCCACTCTCACAGGGCACAGTGAGAAACGTTAGCTGGAAAACACGGGAGGGTAGAGCCGGCCGCTGACATGGTTTGGGAACGTGAGCCTTACAGCGCTGATCGTCTTTAATGACATTCTGGAAAAGGCCTGGATGCATATACAGTTCCAATTTCGTGCGTGAGGCTCTCGACAGCCCTTCCTAATGAGGCTCATGAAAATATTTGAGCATCAACAAAACCATTGCCTCACGCTGGGTGATTTATTCAATTACCACGAGGCCGGGGAGCGGGTGGCACCACCGTGTGCTTTGCATGTAACTGCTGGGAATGCGATTTGGTTGTCGGAACCACGCACAGCCGTGGAGCAGAAGATGGGACCGGGAGGGCCGGGCATTTGCCCGTTGGGTGGAGGCTGTTCGCAGAGGCCTGGGGCTCCCTCTGGCCTGCACTGCAGAGTCACCCTGCTCTGCACCCCGTGACCACCGCCTTCCCGCGCGGCTCCCACGTGGGTGCCACGTCCCCCGGGCAGGCGTGAGCGGCCGTGCTTTACCCGTTTGGTGAGCTGCGTGTCCATCATGAAGTTGTGCACGTGCTTCTCCGCCTTGGTGAGCTCCAGCTTCCGGGCCACCACGGCCACCACCAGGGCCGTGCAGCCCGCGCCCTGTGGGGGGACAGCAAGGGGGCGGGGAGAGCGAGCGTCATTACGAGGCGAGGTTCCGGCGGGAGACTGTGGGGCTCCGGGGGTGGAGCGGGGCCAAAGCCCCCCACCTGCCGCCCCGCTTCCCGCACCGTGAGCAGCTCTGCATCGCTCGGCGGCGGAGACGGGTCCTCACGAAACTAGTCCTTAACGGAGCAGGACTCCAACGGGGCTGATGAGAGCAGGACTCTCGGGGAACTAATGTCCAATCACACGGCCACCGGCCGGGCTGTGCCGGGAGCATGGCGGGCCGGCACACGCAGGCCCCTCTCCCCTAGGCTGCCCCAATCCCACAGCCACTCCCAGACCAGGGCCGGGAGGAGAGCCGCACCCACGGGGGAGCACGGCTGCTGCTGGAGAAACGTGTTTTTTTTTTTTTTCTCCTGGAAATAATCTCAGAAAGAGGGAACACATCCTCCCTCGATCGCCTCCAGGGGACACTGGTTGGCCGGAGTCTGTTCTCTCCACTCAGGTGGGGCTTTTTACCTGAAGGTCTAGGCCAGTGGTTGGCAAACGCATGCGTCGCCAGAGCCAAACATCAACAGGACAATGGCTGACATTTCTTTTGAGAGCCACAGTTTTTTAAACGGAAACATCATCTTCTAACGCCACTTCTTCAACATAGACTCGCCCAGGCCGTGGTCTTTTGTGGAAGAGCCACCCTCAAGGGGCCCGAGAGCCGCATGGGCTGGGGAGCCGCAGTTTGCCGACCACGGCTCTAGGCTCTGACTCAGCACAAGGAAGTGATTCTTTCTTGCTTTCCCTAGGGGGCTGAATCCACTGCATGCGGAGGTGTTTTTTTTCTTAAATACATTTTTATTGATTTTTTACAGAGAGGAAGGGAGAGAGATAGAGAGCTAGAAACGTCGATGAGAGAGAAACATCGACCAGCTGCCTCTTGCACACCCCCTACTGGGGATGTGCCCGCAACCAAGGTACATGCCCTTGACCGGAATCGAACCCGAAACCTTTCAGTCTGCAGGCCGACGCTCTACCACTGAGCCAAACCGGTTTCGGCATGCATGCGGAGATTTTTAAAGATGCTGGCAATCTTGCTTTCGGCCAAGCTTTTAAGTAAATTCCAGGGGGGGGGGGGGGGGGGGTCAGTATTTCTCAGAGCAGCTTTCCGATCCTGCCCAGGTAGGCCCATTGCAGGGGAAGAGGGAGGAAGGAGTAAAAGAAGCAGGTTTCCCGGGACTCATGCTCGCTCCTAACACTCTGGGCGCACGCTGGCCTGTCTGAGCTCACTCCTCCCCTGCAGCCGCCGCCCTCTTCCTGCAGGCCGCCCGGCCCGGCCTGACCTCCACGCATGGAAGGAGATGGATGACAAGCTGAGCAAAGCCAAGGGCCTAATCCTCGGCGGCGGCAGCAGCGACAGCGTTGCCACGGAGCCCAGCTTAGCAGGAAGGTCCAAGGACTGAGGGGCTGGATCAATGACAGCTCTGGCTCATTGGTCTCCCAGGCTGTGTGGGAAACGGGAAAGAATGTTCTCCAGGGCGCACGGTCTGTGTCCGAGTCTCCATGCCATCGCCCCTCCCTCTTCTGCAGGCTGGCAGAGGCCGGGGCGGGGGGGTTGGGGTCTGGCAGGCACGGCTGAGGCTGGCAGAGCTTCCCCGCAGCTTTGCACCAGGTTCCCATGAAAACAATCTCTTGTTTCCCGGTACATTGGGGCGTGTGGTCAGCCGCCCAGGGGCCACCCATTTATAGCACAACAAACGGAGCCTTTCCTCGCTGACCTCGATTTCCTCTCTGGTTCGGGGGCGGCCGTGTTCCCTTGGCCTCTGCCACTGAGGAGAGACTCGGTGCCCGCTTTTCAAAGGGGACGTATGGGCATTTGGGCGACCTGGTCTATAGCTGCCATGAAGTTAGCCAGGCCTCCAAACACAAACAAATAAAACAAAACCAAACCTTAAAGGGAGCTGCCCTAGAGGCCGTAGGTGTGCTCCGTTCCGCTCCAGCAGATCGAGTCTAATCACCCTCCTTTATCGGAGTTCCAAAGGTATTGTACGTGGGGCTGAAGGCCCGAAACGAGGGGCACACGAGCATCACGGTGGTAAAGGTGGAACATCAGAGGGAGCCGGCTCCCCCAGGCTCCATCCTCCCTCCTCTCCCCGAGTCCAGGCAACACTCCACTTCAGTCACCCCTGAGAGCTGGGGGCAGAACCAGCCTGAAAGCTGCCCTGCTCACCGTGCCGCTTGGGGAGTTTCATCCAAACCCTCCTTCCTCCGCCTTCCCGCACCCCAGGGTCAGGATGTGCCGCTCACGGCACAGCAGCCTGAATGCCGGGCCTTCTCCTGAGGAGCTTGAGTGTTTGTTCCCACCGGGAACCAGTCCCTGTCAGTGACTGAGACGGATTCCTGCTCGGAGGCGGGAGGGTGGAGAGATGATGCTTCCCGGTTTCTTTCTGTTCAGAAATGTCAACACTCCCGCAGAGATGTCTCTCTGGCGGAGGCTGGGCTCTTGACCCCTGATTCTAACTTGGATAGAGGGCAGCGGCTATGCCCACTTTGTTGTTCTTTTAGGAAATCCATCATGTGGATGTGATTCAGGAAGTAGCCAAGGAGGAAGCCTAGCTTGGTCACTTCCATGAAGAAGCAGCCTTGTAAAGATGGGGCCGGGCATCCGCAGCCCTCAGGAGTGGTGGGCAGTGTGCTGAGGTCCACATGGGAGAGAGAGAGGGAGAGAGAGGGAGAGAGTGAGAGAGGGGGAGAGAGAGGGAGAGAGAGAGAGGGAGAGATATGAGGGGGAAGCAAAGGGGAAGGGAAGGAAAGAGAGGGGAGGAGAGAGAGAGAGAGGGAGGGAGGAGGGAGGGAGGGGGAAAGGAGAGAGAGAGAGGGAGAGGATTGAGGGGAAGCAAGAAGGGAAGAGAGGGAGGAGAAGGGAGGGAGGGAGGGGAAGAGAAGAGATGAGGGTGAGCAGGGGAGGAAGGAAAGGGGGGAGAAGGAGGGAGAGGGGGAGAGCGGAGAAGGAGGGAGAGAGGGAGGAGAGAGAGGGGGGAAGCAAGGGGAAGGGCAAGAAGAGGATGGAGAGAGAGGGAGGGAGGGAGGGAGGGGGAGAGAGAGAGAGAGAGAGAGAGAGAGAGAGAGAGAGGCAGGCCGAAATGGGGAAGAAGTTGTGCTCCATCCTAACAGCATGGGGCAGAAGAGGGAAAGAGGGAAGGAAGGAGCAGAGGCATCCAGAGCCGTGGGGCTGAGCAGGGAAGGCAGGAAGAACAAGGCGCCTCAGGCTTGAGTGCAGTTACTGGCCAACTTGGGCTCCTCGGAGGAGACAGAGGAAGTGGTTCGGGACCCCCTCCCTCCGTCGCCTCACCTCCCAGTGGTACAATGGTCACCTGTGCTCCTCGGGGGGTCAAGAGCCCTTTTTCCTGACAGCTTTTCCCGTTACAGCTCGTCAGTGTGACGTCCCCACAGGGGCAGCCCGGGAATGTGGCCGCGAGGCGGGCGGGCATTCAGAGACAAATTGCCAAGGACTGGGCTGGTTTGGGGTGTGACAGTGCATGCCGTCCTCGGTGGAATCTCAGCAGTGGCTGGCGGACAGAGGGGGAGTGTGCGGAGAGGGTGGACGGGGGCAGTCAGACAGGGGCAGCAGCTGCCGGTGTGACTTCCACGGGGTCAGCCTGTGATGATTCGTGACTCAGCCCACTGCCTTCGGACGCGCCAAGCCCTGGGTCACAGTGGACACCAGCTGGATCCCCTGGGCCGTCTCTGACTCCTCGTTCCTCGGGACGAATGAGATCACACTGTCGGGGGATAGGATGAGCAGGAACACAGGAGTGAGTGAGGAGAGAGAGAGGAGAGAGAGAGGAGAGAGAGAGAGGAGATAGAGAGGAGAGGAGAGGAGAGGAGAGGAGAGGAGAGGAGAGGAGAGGAGAGGAGAGGAGAGGAGAGGAGAGAGGCTGCCCGGGGGGGGGGGGGGGTGGCGGTGAACAGGCCTAACTCATCCATGGAGTTGGACCCAAATCAGAGACTCAGGCTCCCCTACGCCTCTCCTCCCTTTTCTTGTTCCCAAGACACACTTCCCAGCTGGAAAACCTTAGGCTCTGGAAAAACACGTGTCCCCGGCGGGGAGGATGAGGTGTTCCTCCCCGAAGGAGCAGGAGAAGAAGAGAAAACACAAATGAAAGTGACAAATGGAGGAGGGAAGCCTGGAGGGTGCGCCGTCGGGTTCTATTTCTGCCGCGGGTTCCGTGTAACGACCAAAATAACATCCGCTGGTCTGAAACCAAGGTGTTTCGGGGAGAGGCTCCTCTGGAGCTGACACGAAGCAGATGTCTGGCTGCGCCCTCCCCTCCTTCCTTCCCTCCCTCCTCCCCCAATGACTCAATTTGTTCCACCTTGTGCTTCATCACCGCGTTCCTTTCCAGTTCAGAGGAGCGTCCCTCCTGCAGCCTCGGGGGAAGCTAGGGGTCCCCGGGGGACGCCCCGGGAGCTCCGGCCTCTCTGTCCAGAGCGTAGGAGAGGCCCACGGAGCGAGTCCAGCTTCAGGAAACGGCTCCTTTGAAACAGGGTTCCTGCGGGGCTGTCTTGGGGCCCCCCCAAAGGTTTCCCCGGCGCCCGCAGACCCGCACGGCCGCGGAGGGCCTCATGGTGAGGGGTGCTGTGGTTTCCAAGTCCGGAGGCGAAGGCGTGGGGAGCCCTCTGTCTGCATGGGAACGGCCATCGCACCCTTCCTGGCGGACCCCCTCTCCCCGCGTCTGCGGTGGGCGGCTCCCAGGCACAAGAGGGCTGCGCCAGCAGTGTCAGGCGGCTCAGACAATTGCACACCCTGCCTAATGGCGGATAATTACCCCGTTACGGGGATTGCCGAGAGAAAACAATGATTAAGACTATTTACGGGCCCCGCACACACACAAATCTCGCCTCTCCCTTCCCAGGCAGGCCTGGTCCTGGCCTGCACGGTGTCCATGGCAACCAAACAGGAAGCTGTACCTTTCGCTCAGTCGCCAGCAGGAGTGATTCCGAGAGGCACACACAGTGTGGGGAGGCGGGGAGGGGGCGAGAGGAGCTCTTGGAAAGGACTGGCTGAGCTAGAAAGGTCACGTTTGTTAGGGAAACGGCCCAGGGGCTCCACACGGGCGCTGACCCCTGAGGGAAGCCACGGCTTTAATGTGGGCGAGAACCCTGAGGTGCATGGAGGACGCCCTGCCGCTCTGGTGTGGAGGGAGGTATAGGCCTGTGCACCGGCGTCCGTGCGAAAGGAGACGGTGGACCTTGGGTTGTGGTTTTCATGTGGGAGGTGCTCGTCCATCCGTCCGTCCGTTCTTCCCACTTTGATCACCACTCTCTCGGCAAGGAGCAATGCTCCCTCCCAGGGGGCTGCTGCGGAGCTAACCGGAGCAAACAGGGTGCCGACGGCCACCCTCTAAGAAGGCCGGAGGGGCTGGGCCGCCTGCCTCTCCGCTTTGTCATGGTGGAAGCCCCAGGTGCCTGCCGGAGGGGAGGAGACAGGGAGATGGCGGCGAGGGGGCCGCTGCTTCTTGGATGGGGCTCAGCTCCTTGCCGAGAGGGAGAATGGCTGGCATTTAAAAATAACAGAGGCTCCCAGCGGGTCCCTCCACCCCCGGCCACCCACCTCTCCACCCGCCCGCTCCATGCGCCCCAGCTCAGCGCCGCCCGAGGCAGGAGCCCACGGCCCAGGAGGGGCTCTGAGCCGGAGAGCTCGCTCGGCCTCCATCCTTTCTGGAGGAACGGATGCTCCCGTCTCCTGGTGACAGCTGGCAGGGCGCCAGGCAGCCTCCTACCGCCCTCGAGGGAAGCTCGGGCTCACCCAGGACTCTCCCAGCCCCGCTGGGCCCGTCGCTCACGCCCTGCGGGAGTGCCGCCTGCCGGTGCTCCTGGCCTGGGCTCCGGGGGCAAAGGGAGAGGCTGTGCCCCGTGGTGAGGTGCCGCCCGGGCCCTCCCGCTCACAGAGCTGCCGCCCAGCCTCTCTCTGCCCTCCGCGGCCCTGACTCATGACCAGCCCCGGGAGGCTCCCAGGCCACGGAGGGTGGGAGTGGGCAGCCTCTGGTGGGGGGTTAATCCCTTTTCATTTCCGCAGGCGCCGCTTTTCCTCCCGGGAGGATGGGTGGAACCCGGGGGCGCGGAGGGAAGGTTCTCCCCGGGGGATAATGGGGCTGCAGAGAGGGCTCCCCGAGGTCCAGGCCAGGCAGCCACCCACGGAGGCCGGGGACAGCTCCCGCACCCTGTCCACCCCCACCCCCACCCCCACCCGGGACCCCCACGGCGCCTGGGCTGCAGTGCTTTCTCCTCTGGGCCTGTGTCTAGGGTTCTAGGAAGGAGGCCCAGGAGCGGTGGCTGCCTGGCCTGGACCTAAAGCTCAGCAAGGCCCAGGAGGCTCATCTCCGCAGGGAAGGTGGGGTGGAGGCCGGGGACGCGAGGACCTCGACAGCGTGTGCAGCTCCTCACGCTGACAGCGCACGTTCCCCTGGAGCCGTGGTTGCGAGCCCCATGCGGCTCTTTGGCCCCTCGGGTGTGGCTCTTCCACAAAATACCACGGCCCGGGCGAGTCTATGTTGAAGAAGTGGCGTTAGGAGCAGTTTACGCTTAACATTTTTGGCTCTCAAAAGAAGCTTCAGTCGTTGTCCTGTTGGTATTCGGCTCTGTGGACGAATGGGTTCGACGACCAGTGACTAGGGCATCGCCATCCCCAGGGGGAGGGCGGGGTGGGGCGGGGCGGGCCTTCCATCCTCGCTCTGCACTCGGGAACGCTGAGGCCCAGCAGGCTGAGTGCCCTCCCTGCCCAGAGCCCAGGGCGAGGACCAACGTGGGAATTCAGACCTTCCCTCACACAGAGCTTCCGGGGCCCTGTGATGGGCAAGGGTGGTGTTGGGTGGGGGCGGCAGGTGACGGATGCAGCCCAGCCGCTGGGCACCTGCAGGGGGCTGGGGATGGGGAGGGAGTCACAGTCCCGCTGATGCCAGAGCTGGGAGAGACCCGGCTCTGGGAGCCCAGCGCCCCCACAGGCAGAACTGGGAGCCAACATCTGGAGAAGCCGAGGGCTTTCTCCCCACCAGCGGCGCCCAGTCCCCTGCAGGCCCCGTGCGGCCTCTCAGAGCTTTCCCGGTCCCTGTCCCTGCCTCCGTGAGCTCAGCTCCAGTTAGCAGATGCTCACAGGGGGGAGGGGGAAGCACCCTGGGCCGTCCAGTGGTGGAGGGTAGGAAGGGGGGTCAGACCCATGGTTAGCTTCACCCAGCCTGGGTTTTTTTTTTGGGGGGGGGGGCGTGGACAGAAGGGGGGGTTGTAAAGAGACCGTCAATGTCAGGAGCCAGGACCTGTCTCTGCCTTGGAAAAGGAAACACGAGCATGAGGAACCGTGTGGATTCAATCTGCCTCTGAGTGCACAGACATGCACGGCAGGCGGGTGTGTGCCGGCCGGAGAGGCCCCCCTGTGCTCCCTCGGAGGGCGGGGGGGCGGGTACTCACCATGATGCCGGTGAGCAGGCACACGCCTTTCCCGCAGTACGTGTGGGGCACCATGTCCCCGTAGCCGATGGAGAGGAATGTGATGGAGATGAGCCACATGGCCCCCAGGAAGTTACTAGTCACGTCCTGCTGGTCATGGTACCTGCCGAGGGGAGACAGGCGTCAGTGGGCGGAGCCGTGGGTGTCCGCGGGCTGAGGGCACATCCTCGCGGGGGAGGTCCCGCGTGCGCTGGGGCGGAAGCGGCCGCCATGGCGACGCGGAGGTCTCCTTAGGCGGCTGCAGGTGCCAGGACGCTGCCCGCTGCCCGCCCCGGTCCTGCCTGCGCCCCCCCCCCCCCCCCTAAACAGGCTTGTCCCAGAGGTAAGTGCTTTGTACCACATTGGAGACATCCCTTTGGTGCAGGTAACACAGCTTTGGGTGAAATCATGACGTAATACAATTTAGATTTTTTCCCCTTTCAACCCACAGTCTAAATGCACGTGGGTGTGATTAATTTGAAAGCACAAGCTCCTGGACAGGGAAAATGTAAAAAAATAAATAAATAAAATAAACCACCAAACATATACAAGACCCTGGGGGAGGGGGATGAAGGTATGCGACAGGGGTTAAGGGAGGCTGGGGTCAATGTGGGGGGGGGGTGAGATATATGTACTAATATATGTAATACTTAAAACAATAAAAAAAATGCTTCATTGTCACTTAAAAAAAAAAGTCACCAAACATATTTGGCAATTTCCTGAAGGTTGATGGATCCCCAAGACTGGCTCCTCCCGGCGTCTGGGGGTGGGGTTTTCTCAAGAGCTGTGTCCTGGGTTGCTCGGCTCCCTGCTGAGGGTGTCTATACCTCCAGGGCCTCGTGGCTGCCCCGCCTGGAAGGAGCCAACTGGATTAAGGAACATTACCCACAGTGCTCAGCAATGGGAGGATAGGAACATTACCCACAGTGCTCAGCAATGGGAGGATAGGAACATTACCCACAGTGCTCAGCAATGGGAGGATAGGAACATTACCCAAAGTGCTCAGCAATGGGAGGATAGGAACATTACCCACAGTGCTCAGCAATGGGAGGATAGGAACATTACCCACAGTGCTCAGCAATGGGAGGATAGGAACATTACCCACAATGCTCAGCAATGGGAGGATAGGAACATTACCCACAGTGCTCAGCAATGGGAGGATAGGAACATTACCCACAGTGCTCAGCAATGGGAGGATAGGGATATTACCCACAGTGCTCAGCCCAGGCAGAGCCCAGAGTGGCGTTAAGCACACGGCAGCACGTCCTCTCTCTTTTCCTAAGGCTGGTGTTTGATTTACTGCTTTATTTTCCTCTAAATCCCCTTTCATTCCTTTCGGGTTTCCTGTTCGTTCACCATATAAAACCCGACTGGTGCTAACTATGTGTGTGAAGAGAGAAGGAGATCTGGAGGGTGTCACTCATTCATTGTAACGCTTCACCCATCTCTGTCCTCGGGAGGGGGCTGTAGAGCAGCGGTCGGCGACCGGTGGCCCCCAGGCCTCTGGGGGGCCGTGAGGTCCGAAAGACCGGTGGCCGCTGCTCTGGAAGATGCCGAGTCAGACAGACACCCTGCACTCCCTGACCTGGGGCAGCGCCACAGACAAGACTCACAGGGGACTCGCCAAGCAGGAAGTGATGCCCAAGAGAGTAGGCTTGGTGATTCATACTGTGGGAGTGGGGAGGAGGCAGGAATTACATCGAACCTATTCACAATTCTACAGTGGTTTACACTTGTCACAAATTCACATACAGATTTCATGCTATTTTTTTACAATTGAGAATTTTTTTTCTTTTCTTTTTAAAAAAAATATATTTTATTGAGTTTTTACAGAGAGGAAGAGAGAGGGAAGAAAACTAGAAACATCGATCAGCTGCCTCTTGCACACCCCCTACTGGGGATGTGCTCACAACCAAGGTACATGCCTTTGACCGGAATCGAACCTGGTGCCCTTGACCGGAATCGAACCTGGGACCTTTCAGTCCACAGGCTGATGCTCTATCCACTGAGCCAAACCGGTTTTGGCGTGAGAATTTTTCTTTGGGGGGAAAAATAGTTCCTTGTTTTTCATTAAGGGCTAAGGAGAAATTGTGTGTGTGTGTGTGGGGGGGGTCAATTATTATGCTTATTCATTTATCATTAGGGTGTAGACTATGGTTGTTCACTTTTTAATATTATGAAAGAAATGTATGATGGTATAAAGATGACAGATTAAACACACAAGCTGCTTTTGCCCCCTTCTCAGATCCCTCTATGACTAGCCTTGTTAGTTCCCTGCTTTTAAAAACCAGCAGAGACCCAGGAATCCCCAGAGAGCTGAGTAATGTCTCTAGCATTCAAGACACACACCAAACCAGCCGATGAAACAAAGAAACAGAGCTCTGGATCTGATACAGATCATTCGCAGAGAATGCTTGAAGAAATCCTATAATTAACATTGTAAGAGAGAGAAAACGAGACAGGGGACCCGTGAGACAGGCAGGGCGTGCTATACCAAAACTCTTCCTGGAGGGCTGGGAGATAAATCGAGGAAGGCTCCCAAAAGATAGAGACAGAAGTGAAAAGAGGAGAGAAAATAGAAAACGAGTCTACCAACTGAAATATTAATAGCTTCAGAAAGAGAGAACCGGACAAAAAGGAGGAGGAAAAGGAGACAGAGAATGAAGGAGAAGAAAAGAAGTAAATACATAATTTAAAAAAAATTTCCCATAAGCAAAGGACACAAGTTTCTAGATCAAGAGCCCACCATCCCTAGCAAAGTGGATGAAAATAATGTGTCAGACCAAGACACATTACTGTGAAATTTCAGAACACCAGGGAGAGGAGGTGATTCTATGGAGCTTCTAGGGAGAAGGAGAGGGAGGGAGAAGAAAAGGGAGGGAGAGGGAGAAAGAGAGGGAGAAGCAGAGGGAGAGGGAGAGGGAGAGGGAGAGGGAGGGCGTCACCCAAACAAAGGAGTAAGCCCCAAAGAAGGAAGCCCCGGGGTGGGGGACACAGGAGATAGGCGGTGGAAAGAGGCTCAGGGTGAAGGCCAGGCACCAGGCACAGAGGGCCACCTGTCCAGATGGAAGCATGTCTGAAGCTCGGGAGACATTTCTCCAAGATGATGAATGGCTAGAAAACAGGATGTGCCTAAACATCTGGAGAAGAGAGTCAGACAACCGCCAGTGTTTGGAGTTAAATGAGGGATTGATACATAGAAAAGTGAGCAAATGAACAAACGTGATGATTAACCAGAATATAATAAAATAAAGCTTCTGTGGGAAAAGAGAAGTTTTCATCCTTGAAGACAAAGGCTCAATTATGATTAGAGTCAAATTAGTGTTGACCGAGTAATGCAAACAGTGATTACTGATCTAACCAGAATTATAATATAACGATGAAAGGAGAATGGGGGTCAGGATGAGTTCAAGGGGCGGAAGGGAAGCCAACTAACTCCTCATCTTCCCGGGAGGGGCGGGAACAGGTGATGCCAAAACTTATGCATCAAAAAGGAGCAAGACAGCCGAAACCAGTTTGGCTCAGTGGTAGAGCGTCGGTCTGCGGACTGACTGAAAGGTCCCAGGTTCGATTCCGGTCAAGGGCATGTACCTTGGTTGCGGGCACATCCCCGGTGGGGGGTGTGCAAGAGGCAGCTGGTCGATGTTTCTCTCTCATCGACATTTCTAGCTCTCTATCTCTCTCCCTTCCTCTCTGTAAAATATCAATAAAAATATATTTTAAAAAAAAGGGGGGGGGGGAAGCAAGACAAGCCCATTGTTCAGAGACATGAAGGTAAACAATTAGCAAAAGACAGTAAAAAAGATTGGTTCTCAGTGGCTGAACAACAAGCTGCCCCAGGACGGAGCAGCTTAAATGTCATTGGCTATTTCACCCCGGTGGCATTGGGTCAGGAACCCAGGGGCGGCCTGTCTGTGTACCTCCGCCTCAAGGTCTCTGAGGAGAGTGTAGTCAAGCTCCGGAGGAGGGTGAACGGGAAGCACAGCTGACTCTAAAGCGCACGCCTGCCTATAATGTTCATAACGCAAACACAGAATCAAGCCTGAGAGGAAGAAACCAGAAACGCGTGTCCTGTGATGCAAAGCTAGGAAGCACGAAAATAAAGCAAGCACTCACTACCCAACCCTGCCCCGAGGAACCTACTTCTGTGCTCTCTCCGCCCAAAGCCCTCCCTTCCCCTGGGAGGACATCAATAGCCTCAGCGTTATGCTTTTCATGACCTTGTTTTGCTTCAGACAGTTGTGTTCCCACGCGGGTGTGTACAGCTCCGCCACAACCACGGGAGTGAGCTGGGACACAGCGCCCTGAGGCGAGGCCACACCCCTGGGTGACAGCTTGACGACCGTCCCCCGAGAGGCCTTGAGCCAGAGGTCCCTGTGTACCATGCCCCCTGAGCTCTTAACCCTTAGCAACAGTGAGATAGCAAATGGTTTTGGCTGTTTGTTCTATGGATCTTAGAGAGAGGAAGGGAGGGAGCGAGAAAGAGAAGAGAGAAACTCCGGGTGTGAGAGAGAGAGACACATCGATGCGTCGCCTCCCTCCTGCACACACCCTGACCGGGGACCGAACTGGCAACCCGGGGAGGTGCCCTGACTAGGAATCAGACCTGCCGCCTTTTGCTGTTCCCCATGGTGCTCCAACCCACGGAGCCACCCAGCCAGGGCTGTCAGAGTCCTCTTTGCAACCTGTGCTAAAGTACCACCTCTGAGCTCAGCACATAACGGTTGTCCAGTAAATACTGTCTGGAGTGAATGTGGCCTCCCGGGAAAGGGGCTTGTGCTTCAGGAACTCAGTGAAGCCCGTTGAGATCTCCTCGGCAGATAAACTTCTGTCCGAGCGGCTGCCAGCTGCCACGGGCGGGGAGTCCGTTCTTGCTATTCAGAGGAACCCGGCTTCTTGACAGTAGCTGCGACCTAACACTTTTTCCACGAGTATCCACGATGGGAGGCCTCTGGCCACTTGCTCTGGGGCAGGTGTGTTGCTTGGAAGTTCTCCAGAATCCAGCCAGGCCTTCTGCAGGACGCTAGCCACACGGACAGCTTTGTCATCACCTTCCCGTCAACCCCCCAGCGCCACACAGTCACACCCGAAGGCGGGAATCGCCCAGAGTCCTGGCGTTACGCC